CAGCGCATGTTACCTCCTGGATGGCCCTCACCACCCAGGAGGGCCATGAATCTAATAAACAGATAGCCAGGATACTATTTCTGAGAACCCTGCCCATTTCCTTAGGAGTTACAGGTTCAGACTCATCCCAGATAACCATGCCAGACCTTGCTTCTCTCTCCTCAACAGGATTTGGGAATCTGAGCAACTTTATTTGCCAAATGGCTAGAACATTCCTCACAATGGCCATCCAGATGATCCTATGGCTCATCCCTTCCTAGCAAGAACAAGTCTCTTTAAAGAGGGCTGCTGAATCAGTGGACATAAGAGCAGAAAAATAACTATGTTTTGCTGGTCTTACCCCACAATGTAATTCCTAATAACAGCTCTTACTCATGCTCAGATTCACTCTTCATCTTCCATCAAAAGCACTCTAAGGATTTTTCAGGTGTTTCATCTCCCAAGTATCTTCAGAAAACTTACAAATACCTCAGAATCTATGCAGAGAGTGATGCTCTATTGGAGTAATCTGGTCCAAGGCTGTCATCATATGGCCATTCCTGGCAGTGACCAAGACCACAACTGAATTGCCTATCAGATCATGGGGGAGAATGGGGGCAGCACCAGCAGTCAGAAAGTGGCAAAGGACTGATGGCAAAGGACTGGTGGTAATGTTTTCCACTCTCACATCACATTGCAACTGCCCCAAGACAAAAACCACATGGATTGTGTGACATCCAGTGTGAGTCAAGCTTACAATGACTTTGACTAGGCCCATGGCTTCCTGGTTGCCAGGAACTCCTGAGCTGTCCCAGTCTCTACACCACCTGAAGATGGGTTGAAATCCCCAAGAACTTTAAGCCTTTGAGACTCCACCACCAACCCAGAGACAGAATCTAGCAGTTTAGGCAGGAATGTTGCTGCATCAGAGGGCAGCTGGTCTAGCAGCAACAAGCCCAACTTGTCCTACATTTGATTCTCTGCAGAGCAGAGCATCTGAAAGCCATCGAGGCCTCCTGGATGACAACGGCCATGCCACGTTTCCTGCCCTAAGCTCGTGGCTGGTGCCAGACCAGGAACCCAGATGGGAATTCCCCCCTCCAAGCTCACCCATGTCTTGGTTATACACTCCAGATTGACTGCCTCATCCACAAACAGATCCTGCACGAGGATGGTTTGATTACATACCAACTTGGCCTTCAGCCAAGCAGCCAGGGTCCAGGACCACCAAGGATCTGATGACCTGGCCCTGGGGTTGGGCACTGAGGGCTGCAAGGTGGGACAGGTCTCAATCACCATCCCCACAAGCAGCTTGTCCTCAGCTTCCTACCATATCATTATTAAATTTACATCTTAGTGACGTATCTAAAATGGTGTTCAAAGCAAGTAGTAGCACTAAAAACAAACTAGGGTTTATAATCCAAGCTTCAAAATAGAATAAGAAAGGATTTGGAGAGAGGGAAAAGGGTATGCAAGGAAAGAGAGAGAGATGTATGTTCACATGACCCATGCTGAATATTTTTAGTGAGGATGTGGAAATAAGATTTTACACTCTCTTTCTCATGCCTAACGATCATGGTTGGTATTTCTGCAGTCTTCAAAAAAAACCTTACATATTTTCCATGTCCTCTCACCTGCTTTTCTGTGGGCTGTAGTTTACTCCACTCTGCTCCCAACATCTTTGTGATCTCAGGGAAGGGCAAATCTGGGCGCTGCATCCGAATTTGCTCCCGTCGCTCGTTCAGAAAGCGGACGTAACCTGTCACGGGGGCCTTCGGTCCATTGGGGAGGATTTTCTTCCTCTTCTTGCCTTTCGGCCAGCCCCGCTTTTTCACTGGCTGCCCACAGCAGAAAGAAGAGATTCAGGTCACTCTGATCTGCAACTCATTGCATTTCTGGTACCTGTGTTCAGGGTGCCACCACCTATTTGTGGCAATTCCACACAAGCAAAGGAAAAACCCTGAAATGCGATCCTGGTTGGGGGATTCAGTATACTAAGAATCTCTGGCTGCACTCTAGAAGTTAGTTTCTAGCCCTCAAAAATGCAGATATCTCCTTGAAAGGGTGAGGCCCATGTCTGTGGAGTTTCCCAGGTCAGAAAGAGGGAAAAATGAGAGTTCCAGTGGCATGGGTGAAAAGAGGAATGCAGAGGGAAGTAGACTTTAAGGCCTCCAAATATCCACTCCCCTCTAATTATTAGTCCAGTGTTTCTCAACCTTGACAACTCTAAGATGTGTGGACTTCAACTCCCAGAATTCCCCAACCAGCCATGC